CCATCTAAGCACACAGGATGGACCCTGCTATAAATTTATTGGAATCTTGGAATTACTACCTATTTCTAGAATAAGGCAATTCAATTCTCATCAGAACCTTTTATAGATATGCCAAATTATTTCAGCATAAGCTTAAAATGCTTCGAGATTATCTCATTTCTGTCAGGAGATCTTGCCAAGGTTTCTGGGTGTGGTACACAAGTTTTAAAGTGATGAATTACACAGTTCAACCTCCAGAAATGGCTACTTTCCACAAGTCGGTCTATTCCAAAAAGGATGGCTTACTGCTTTTAACTTCCCCCCCCTCCACCCCTCTGTTTCTGCCTGAAGTAGCAAAGGGAGGAAGCTGAGTTTACTGGTGAGTGCAACAGACTGAGTCAGCAAGCCTCCTTTCTATATTTGGCTCTGAGATTTGCTCAAACTTTTTTTGTCAAACCAAATCTGTCTAATTCATGAAAGAAGTCTTTGTCTTCTTAAATGTAAATTTTTCACACTTCCGTGTGAACGGCTATTTTTGCTGCTACTATTATAAAACTCTGAAGCTTATTCCTGGAATATCTCTCCAATAAATTTATTTGAATAATGGTCTGGACAGAGAATTAATAAGACAAGTTAACCAAGTCTAAAACCAAGGCCTTGGTGGTGTAGTCAGCTATGGAGAGAGATAGAGTAACTCTGGCAAGGCCAGGCTCACAGGGTAGAGTCAGAATGGTGACCGTGTTGTACAGAGATCCTGCAAAAATCCAGGACAGGAGAAAGAGTAAAACTGTTCCATAATAAATAAAATCGTGATTCTCTCACTTTTCCATTTGGGTTAACTCTTAAATATTTTCCTGGTATCAGATATTTAATTGTGTAAAGCAGACCGTTTGTTTGCTACTAAAGATGTTAAAGTGCATGTGAGGCAGAACACGCTGTGGGGTGGAAGCTTCTCTTTTATCAGGTGCTGACTGAATTCCACAACTTTGTGAGTCAGCTTGTTCTGCAGCCAGGCAATCACTGGCCTATGTTACAAACCAAGCTGACTGCTTTGTAATGTGGGGGCCTGCTGAAAAGATGTTTTTTTTTCAGTTTTAAAATAATTATTAAATTAGTGTTTAAGGACATTTACTAAATTATTATTAATACTGAAAAATTTTCAAAAACATTTATTAACAAGAAGTTGATAAAGTATCAGACTTAAAGTAAAACTGATTGTTATAAAATTAAAAAAAACCCTGTATTTACTGATATCAAAGGTTAAGCATGTTTTATGTAGTTGCATGTTTTAAAAAGCAAGTTATACCAGTAGAAGGTGGAGCTCTACACTCCCATGTATAAGATGTTTTAATTATCACAAAATGCATATAAGAAGCCATGCAGTTCGAATCCACCAACTGCTGCCGTGGAGGAAAGTGGGTCATCTCCTCTTGTGCGATCATTGCCTCTGGAAACCTGCTGGGGGGTCAGCTATGAGCTGGTTCCAACTCAATGTTACATGACAACAACAAAAACAAAATAAATGAATGATCCTTTGACTGCATCATAACCAGATATTGCTATTGGTTACCTATAGAAAATGAGACAACCACAGGTATTTCTTTTCTTTACATTTTTCTGTAACATTTTATAAAAACAGAGACAATTATTTATCTTCAAAGTACAAGCAAATAATGCAAATAATTATACAAAAATTATTACTAGCATTAAAATATTTTTGCATTTTTAGGTAAGCAAATAAATAAGAAATTAATCATTATCTCAACTCCAACCACATTAACTGCTTTTAACATTCTATACTTTTGTGCTATACATACATATATTCTGTGCTTTTTTTATGTAGATTTTTTAAAAAAGAGATACGTTTTTATTTTTATATGCCAAAGAAACAAAACAAAAACAAACAGCCAAATTCACTGCCCTTAACTCAATCCTGAAACTTCCAGTGGGTTTTCTGGCGCTGTTGTCTCTATGGGAAGAGACTGACCAACTTTCTTCCCAGGAGGTGCTGGTAAGTTAGAACTACTGACCTTTCAGTTAGCAGCACCATAACCAAAACCAACACTGAAGCGCATTACCATCCATCGCGTCCCAGTCATAACTACCCTATGTCGGGTTTCTGAGAGTACACTGTCCATCTTTCTTCTGCTGACCTGCTGGAGGATTCAACTGCCAACCTATCGAGTTAGCAACGCAATCTATTATTCATTATACCACCACCTACCAGGCTCCTTAGCAGCCTGATAGAAGTAATACATAAATGGGGCAACAGTGAAAGTAATGCTGTTGATCATCTTCGAGTTGAGCACGACTCATAGCCACCCTATGCACAAAAGGCCTGAAGCTCCTCTACAACTATCGACATTTATCAAAATTCATAGACTTATTTAGGAAATGGATGCCACTCCTGCTTCCAAGGGACAGTAATAGTTTTATTTTTTTGTCACTTTATAATGCATTAAGAAGCTTTTAACAAATCACTGTCTTTCCATTTTTCAAGACCACTTAATATGGTATTGTGTGAATGTACCACAATTAATTAAAAAATATCCTATTCCCAGCTATTAAGATTATTATTATTGTTAGGTGCCATCAGGGGGACTACAACTCACAGCGTCCCTGTGAAAGACAAATCTGAACCTTGCTCTGTCTTGAGCCATCCTCTTCGCCTCTGTCGAGTGTTAATTGTCACTGGATCATTCTGTTGAAGATCTTCTTGTCCTTTTCTGACCTCCGCTTTTCCAAACACGATGTACTGATCCTTCTAACAAAGTATGTGAGACGAAATTTCACCCTTTTCCTCTAAGGAGGACTGTGGCTGCACCCTTTCCAGGATATATTTGTTTGTTCTCTCGGCAGTCCACGAGATTTTCAGCACTCTTCTCCAGCACCACAACTCAAAGGCACTGATTCTTCTTCTGTTCAGTTCCTAGACGAATCTTTCCGTTCTCTGCTTGAATAAACAACACTGTGATGAACATTCTCATAATTAAATTTTCCACCAGTAAGCACTCTTTTTTTAAGGCAATAGAAGTTGAGCTCAGCCCATTTATTTTTGGCAAAGGCCCAATTTTTTCTCCACATTGACAAAAGCCTCGCAGCCACTTCTGAGTCTGCACATCAATGTTCTGTGGCAAAAAACGCCCCAGTCCACTGGCCTTGCCTTTCTGGATTCCCAGATCTATACCATGTGATCTCTCACTATTTTATTAGCTTTAAGTCACTTTAAGGAAATTTTTAAAAATTTTTCTTCTACGGTTTTTTTGGGGGGGAGGTTAGGTATTTTGGGGTTCCCCCTCCCCTCAATTGTCCACACTATTCAGAGTTATTCTGAATTATCTGTTTTCCATTACTGGAAGAGAAACTAGAGTATTTTTTGAAGCAGTTCAAACTTCCTACTTGAGCTTTTCTGTGGTTTTTCCCTGGCTGTAGAAAGAACAGTTTAAAACTAGCTGCTGTCTGGTGAATTCTGACTTAGAGCCACCCGTGTGTGTCAGATGACGACTGGGAAGCATAAGGTTTTCAGTGGTTGATATTTCAATGTAGATCATGTAGCCTTTCTTCTGAGGTGTTCTTGGGTAGATTCACCCACTAATATCCAGTTTATCAGCCAGAGTATCTGAGGGCTATGCATTGCTTGGGTGGCATTTACCTTCTGTTTCTTCCAGGCAAGAAATCAAAAAACATATTGCAATGGGAAAGTCTGCTGTTAGGGACCTCTCTAAAGTACTCAAGAGCAACGATATCTCTCTGGAGACTAAGGTCTGCCTGATACAGGCCATGGTTTTTGCAATCACTTGTTATGCATCAGAGAGTTGGACAATGACTAGGGAG